CCCCAAAACCCCAAAACCCCAAAACCCCAAAACCCCAGTTAAATAATAATAATTGATCATTAATGGAGCGCACAAAGCTGCATGCTTTCTCTGAAGACGGAGACGACATGTTCAATTCTGACCAGAACAAGGAAGGATTCGAGATCCAAGGCAGAAAGTTCTTCTCACAAGGAGTAAGCTGAACGGGGGTTTGGAGGGCTGAAAGAGGGAAAAAGGCAGTTTCCTTTAAAATTAGAGGAAATATCAGCTGATTTGGACTAATGAGGGGTTGGGAAGAATTGGGGTAATTTGGGATTATAGTGTGTGAAAGGAGAGTCTAAGAGTGGATCGTCTTTTAGGAATTATGACTCGGATAATAGTTATCATAATGCAATTTTGAGGAAAGAGTATGCCTCTAATAGTAATGATGGGTTTCAGTAGGTGAGATTGGTAAAATTTGTAGGATTGAAGAGAAAATGGATGAATCTCATTCTACAGAAGAAATTTCAGATGAGGATTCTTCAATGAATTGCTTCCAAAAGTGTTTTAAAAAGAAAAATAAACCATTTTGGTTCGCTGGAATTCTTGCTATCAGCATCTTTTTAGAAAGGTTTTGATTCTTAGTCACTGTATACAAGACCAGAGAACACGGCTATGTCCTGATTTTATGTGTTGCTTTCTTGAACTCTATGTTTGCTCTTTTTCAAACCATATTAAAGAAAAAGAAGCATAAAAAGAATTTATATGAGTATTATCAGCTAAGAAAGACCCCTAAAGTAGGAATATGAATTTATATTTTGATATCAGTTTTGGATATTTTCTATGTCTTCTTCCTATTTTGGTCAGCTAATACCATCCCGATAGCTGCACTGATATGCTTACTACAACTGTTCATCCCCTTCAACATGATTATTCGAAGGTTTTTCTTGAATCAACCTCATAATTTGATACACTGGATATCTGGAAGCCTTATTCTAATCGGATGAGGGTTGTGCTTTGTCAGAGTTTTTCTGTATGAATCCCCAGAAGATCCAGTAAAGTACCTACTCTTCTTTGCTTTATCATCTCTGTTGAAGGTAATATCTCTGGGTATTAAGGAAGGTTTGGTAAGGTCGCAACCAATCAATAATGAAAAGTTTAACTTCAAGACTTCATTAGGTCAATTTTTAATAGGAGTAATACTGACTCCAATTATTGTGAACATATACACAAGCTCGGACCAATCAGAATCTTCCGGATCTACATGGCAAAATATTGGAACATATCTTGCTGATGGATTCAGATGAGTAACCTCATTCAGTGAGGATCAGAAAAATCAAGAGATTCAGGGTTGCTCCTTTGCTCTATTTTACATCCTAATGTACACTATCAGCACATTCCTTTTTCAAATTGTGCTAAAAGCTCTGCTTGAGAGGAGGAAATTCTTGATAATCAAGAGAGTGTTCTCCTGAACTTTCTTAATCACACTGGCATCCTTTGCTTTGGGTTATCTAGCCATCCCTGGGCATCAATATTTTGACAAGATTGTTCTGGTTGACCTTGCTTGCGTATTCTTTGTAATGATTGGGGTCTTCTTTTATGATGAAACACCTGCAAAAATATCAGTTGAAAAATTTTAAACATAAGATCGTACAGCATGAGACGATTGATTCAATACTGAGACCAGCTTTAGGGGTTTTGGGGTTTTGGGGTTTTGGGGTTTTGGGG